AATTTTCAGCATCGGAAAAACCTGTCTCCAATTTAGTGCAAAAAGCATTGAAACGTATGGAGTAGAAACTTTTTGTCATTAAATGTTTAATACTCTCATTTAGCATGAAAGGGCTGGCCGCGGTAGCCTAGTGGTCAAGGTATCAGTCTCGTGGCCGGCGTGTTATGAGTTGGAGCCTAGTGCTGCTGAAGATACCCCTTATAGAGGGAAGCTGATTCACTTTAAATCTGCCGAGGCTCAATGTCCTCTCATTGGCTTAATGAGTAAGTTCAAAGAGAGGGAACCAACTCGGTTGTTGTCCTCGTCACTTGATAATGGTTTAAAATTTCAAGGTCCATCACCAAAAGCCTTTGTGTTGTTTTACAGTGCGATTGTTAATAAACACTACCTCACTCATAACAATAAAGGCCCTGTTTTTTAAAATTCTTCAAAAAGAAATTTTAATTTATCTAAGGAAATCTTCAGTATTACGAAACTGGAAATATTTATGCTTAAAATAAATCCGGTAAGAGAAAACAAATATTTATTTGCGTTATGAGAAAATTATCTTTTAGAAATTAATTAAACCTTTTTTTTAATTAAATCAAGCAATTAATAGAATGATATAATTTAGTTCTCTTTAATTCATTAACATTAAAGTAAATTTTGTCAAATTTTAAAAAGAATTTTTGCAATCACTTAAGGTATCCGACTACCCTAAAATTGTAAATATTGCCAAAAATTGACAATTTTTATGATTTAATTTTATAGGCCATCTTATTAGCTTTATAAAAATACCAAATTTATTATTTTCCGTTCACTAGAACAAAAACTACAAGTGTTTTAGTGAAAGCAGATGTCATTATTTTAAGCAAGATGTCATACTTGAAATAGCGTTTTTCTCGAAATTATTTTTTTGAATATTCTCAAACGGAAACAGCGATTGCTCAAAAAGTTTTCAAAATAAGTAACTGAAATTTTTTTTGTAGGTTCTATATAATAGTAGAAGTGTTTTAACTTTCAGATTTATCAATCATTGTTTTATTACAAAATTTACAGTCCATTATGTTAATATAATCAATGTTTTTTTAAAGCAATTTCATGTAATAACTAACATAAAGTGCTCTAGTTCTTGTGAAAATTAAAATATCTCTTATCCTGAAGGTTATTTCTAAAATGAATAACATAATACATCAGAATTGAAAAATTTAAAATTTGTTGATAAACGTTTGGTACAGAATGGGCCACGTTTGTGCTATTTTTTTGTCAATTTTTACCCATTTTTTCCCCATTTTGGTAATAATAATTTCTTTTTATCTTAATTTTAGCGTATTTTTCTTAAAATCTACTAAACAAATCTAAAAACCACAAAAAATCTCCATATCTCCATTTTTTTTTTAAAAAAAAAAAGTGTTGCAAGTATTCGGATATCTTAAAACGTTCAATTTTTTAACGGCTATACTTTCATGATTTTTTCGAAAGTAAATATTAGAAATTTTTTTTAGCTGTAAGAATTGAGTTCCATTATCCTGTGCATGATCACATACAGACTAATGATCTGTTGTCAAAATGGCGCCAATTGTATTAGCGATAATTCTCGAAAAACATTTAAGTGTCATGTTTGCAATATTAAGCTACAATGGATTTCGAATCCGACAATTTAAGAGGTCACCATTGCATTATTTAGGAAGTTATAAGGAAACACGGTTCCTAAATAATATATCTTGATTGCGTTTTACTTCCTGTTGCCCCAGATATAAAATTCCTCTCAACTACCGCTGGCAAACTTAGGATACTAAAATTTAGATACCTTAGAAGCGAAAATTAAAGGTGAAAAATTATTGGAAACTAATACTTTTATGTATTTAACATTAAGAATTAAATACGAAAGATATTAGTATTTGTTTATTGATACCAGAAACATAATGATGCGACAAAAAAGAGACAAACATGTTGCATATTAAGGCTGTTTTCGTCATACGAGAGTATGAACTTGATGCGGAGAACATTTTCGGACAAAACATGCCTCAATTTTAATAAATTTTGTGACATTGTAACTCGTACATTTGTTTATAATATAGCGTTTTAAAAAATTCAAAATATTTCATAAATAAATTCATATTTATGAAATCATTTATGAAACATAATGAATGAAATCATTTATTTCATTCATATTATTAAATTTTTTTCTTTTAATATGCAAAAGGATAGCTCATTTAGCATTATACGGTATAGCAAAATAAAAGAGTGTGTGTGTACCCATGTATGCACATAAGAAGTTATACTTCTTTGGCGTAAAAAGATTAAAATATTTCTGTTGTTGTTACCAATGCCACCTCATCGGCAAAGGCCAGATCGAGGCCCACGAAATTCATCATTACAAAGGGCTAAGTGACACCTGTCGTTAGCCGTAGCTTTGAGCACCATACAAGTGATAGTACGATTTGGCTCGATTCCACCCCAATTTAGAGTGAGAACACTCTGGGGGTAGTTAGAGGCCTCCCACTTCTCCATCTTCCACCAACCTCACGAAAGGACATGCGGCTCGACGACTATTTAGAGTACCCCCATGCCGCGCAGGAACTATACATTTACAAACATCCATGTCTTCTCCGGGATACGAACCCAGTCCCTACGGCACAGCAGTCAGCGTCGCTAACTACTATACCGGATGGGCGACAAATATTTCTAAAAATCTTGAGCTGTGCAAAGGACGAAAGGCGGTCACGGGCAGAGTTGAACGACACTAACGTTCAGTCAATCGGACCAGCCAAACCCGAGATAATCACGATTTAAATAAATTTAAACAGCCCCACCCAGGGACAATAGGACCAATAACATGCGGAGGGGGGTTCGGCAGACTGTACCTAGAGATGAGTTGAACCGAATGTGACACCTGAGACCTCACATTGAATGCCTCGGTGGGAAGAATCGTTCCTGAGAAAAATAAGACATCCACCTGAAGTGCCCCCGAATTAGGTTCTTTTTTAAAAAAATTAAAGCATTTAAAACCAATAAAATAGAAGCAGGTCAACCAGCAACTCGAAATTGGGCTTGGTTGTGAGGAAACACAAAAGGAATTCATTCGAACCGACACGGAGTCTGTAGTTGCAAATGGGGCGGTGCTAGTTCGGGAAAGGAAAACGAAACTAACTTCCCCTGGAGGGGATAACTGTGACGTAAATGGTCACGTACATCCCAAAGATATACAGAGTAGTAGGTGATCCCAAAGTTTCAGCCTTCTATCTCTATAATATCGTTACGTCGTCCAAAGCTTGAACCACATAGGAATTACATGGGGATTCTAATTTTAGTGATAACGCCTCCATAAGCCCACTGTCTACACACGAATTAAAACAGATGAAACAGCTCAACGAGGAAAACCTATGATCCGAGTTTCATTAGCGAATTTCAAAAATCCTCGGAGCTATGCGGGATTTTTAAAAAAAATTATTATAGCTTTAAAATAATTTTAAAATGTTAAATATGGATGAAGAAATGAGGCTATGGTCCTGAAAAAATATATATTTAGGGCAGAGCTTCTCAAGGTTTCAATATTCACGACCCAATATTTGATCATAATTTTCATCGCGCCCCCCTCATACAATAACAATGTATTGAATTCATTAATACTATACTTCGACGCTAAAAATTCAATATACTATTTTAATCTCTTAAGTACCACTGGCGTGTATAAACTTCTCGCTCAGCCAAAGCGTTAATTTCCCCGAACGTAAATATACGTCTTTCCGAAGTACGATCTTTTCTGTGCACTGCTATCCGTAAAATTATTCCGAAGGCTTTGAAATGCAATAAAAGGACATTGACAGTGTGCGAAGGATTTACACTTCAGATTATTTGCTTCTTTAGTCCTTACTCCCCCCCCAATACATCGTATACGCGTGCCTACGTGGAAAATGGTTGGCATTGGGAAACGAATCGCGTAACTTTTAATCGGCAGTTAAGGGATTAATTATAAACCAAACAAATTATGATGATAAGTGTTAATTCTTGTACATAATTTTATATGTGATAAGCTCATGGGGTCACTGGTAATTATTAGATTTGTTCTTAAGTTTGTACTGTTAAGTTAATTATAAAATATACATTGTGTAGCACTGATACATTTATAATTGTGATGTATCAGTGTAAATGAGTATTTTATTTTTCATTATATCAGAATGCATTTATTAATTTACTGAAGGTAAACAAACAAATTTAATTAAATAAAATTTTGTTTTCGACTTTTCAATATGCTCGCGCCCCCTCGTAGAGTTATCACGGCCCCCAAAGGGGGCACGCCCCACAGTTTGAGAAACGCTGCTCTAGGGTGCTCATAGGAAAACAATCAAATCCAGCTGGTGTGGTCGACCAAGGTGGAATAGGATTCGAGTTATTTCTGGGGAACCCCTGTAGGGGGGGAGGGGGCCAATTCCACGTAAAGCTCGCCTGAATACAAAAATATGGTGGACCACCAAAAGTCAAGCTCCAAGCTCAGTTCCTTAGGGGGTAAAATGTTTTCAGTCCCCATAGGATTAACATGGGAGCATGATATTTTAGTGCTTAAGCCCTCTCCATGCTTACACAATGGGTATGAAGTAGATGACTGGATGGGTCTCGACGAGGGAAACAGTTGGTTCAAATCTCAAGTCCGAGACTCATACAGGAGCCAAGATATTGTGAATTTAAACAAATTTGAAAAGTTTAAGACAATTAAAAACTATGGAAGAAATAGCCCTATGAGCACACACACACATGAAATTATAATTATTGGAAGAGCAGAAAGAGAGGGATTGAATGATCCACGTCCTAATGGACTGTGAGGCTCGGGTGCCGAGATATTGTCCAAAACGCTGTGTAGGGTAGGGGGAAATGCACTGGGGGGATGCCTCCCAACAGATATGATTTATAACAATAGTTATTATGATCCCCCAAATATCAGTCCCATAGCACCAAAAAAGTGACATTATACAACGGTGTGCGTGCGCATCGGTGTCGTGAAGGTATGCGCGTGCATCCGTGACGGTATGTAGCTCAGTGGTAGAGCATTCGACTGCATATCGAGAGTTCCCCGGTTCAAACCCGGGTGCCCTCTTGATCAGGGAAGTGAAGAGAAGTATTTTTTTTTTTTTTGAGAATTTCGGAGGCGGAAATGATTTGTCCCGTTCTGTATATTTCTAGGCTAAGCATTTTCGTATCCCTTCCTACAGAACGCAAAACAAAGGATCGCTGATACGGGGTGTATAGCTGAGTGGTAGAGCATTCGACTGCAGATCGAGAGGTCCCCGGTTCGTTCAAATTCGGGTTCCCCCTTCTTCAGAGAAGTAAAGATATTTTTTTTTGAGAATTTCGAAGGCAGGAATGATCTCTACCGTTTTGTATATTTCTAGACAAAGCATTTTTGCTTCCGTGACGGTTTTGCGCCTGAAAAAGATTAATTTGATTGAACGTCCATAAAATAAATTATATTTAATTTTTAAACATCCGAGACGGTGTCTTAATGCTTCTAATCTTAATGCTTCAACATCTTTACACAATTATAAAACTTGAAATTTTGTTTAAATTTTATTAATTAAACTACAAGGGCAGGTCTCTAATGTCAGTTTTGAATTCAACGGAGAACACGTGATTGCATTTGTCACGTGACTGCAGTGACTTTAACAAATTGACTCTTTTCTGAACACAAATCTACATCTCGTTTCCACTATGTATATTAAAATAGTTGAAAAGATTTCGATAAAGTTTTTTTCTACTTTAAATGCTTACAAATGACTGAATTATGAATCGTGAAAACTAAAGTAATTTTTTAAAGTATTTAATTTCGCGCGAATTTCCTATACGATACATTTCTACATTCTAATAATTTCTACCTTCTAGTTTCGACATTGCATAAAAGTATGTGTATCAAGTATATCAAACTGGTTTCAAATCACGGGCTATTTTCCAAGAAGCGAAAGTCGTGCACTTTACAATTTCAGGAAGTTCTTTTTTTTTAACTATATTTAACTTTGGTAGCAAGAATAATGTTCCTTGTTGTTTGTAGCATAGTGTCTACGTTACTCTTAGTAACATAAGCAAATAGGAAGTTGAATAACATATAGTTTTACAATATACAGTGTCAGGAGTGTTGGAAACCTAAAATACACCTTACTTCAACCTCTAGAGTAATAAGAAGCCATTAAAACCTACTTTTAAATAATCATTGAAACTGGGCCACACCCAGTTGAATGGCGAAAATTGTAAATAAAGTATTTTGTTTTTGCTTAAAAGTTTAAAATGAATGATAGAAATCAAAACATTTAATCCTAAATTGCTAAAAAAGTGTTTACTTGGAGGTATACAAAATCCCAATGAAAGTGTAAGCAACGTAATAGGGTCTCGTGTACCGAAGAAAGTATTCGTACAAATAGAAGTATTATCATTGGGTTCATAGGATGCGATTTCATCATTTAATATGGGAAATGTATCAAAAACAGAAATTTTGAGAAAACTTCATATTGAGCCTGGTAATTACACGGTACAGGCAATGGAGTGCCTCGACAAACAGAGGCTGTTAAAGGCTAAATACTCATGTTTACAAAAAACAAAGGAAGTTAGGAAAGAAAAAAAACTTAAAAGGAAGAGAGGATGATAAGATTAAAAAAATGTGGATCATTTAGAGTAAGGAGAGGAATGTTTTAATAAAAAAGTAATTATACATTAAAATTCATTTATCTCAATTTAAATTGTTGATGTTCGATGTACCTTTTCTTGGAAACTAGTGTTCATAGGTATGTAAGTTTTGTACGACATATTTAGAATGATAGCTAATATATACTGAAATTGTCTTTTTGTAAGAAACTCAAAAATTTATTTCTTACAAATTTTTTTATGTGAAAAATGGATCGAATTTCACTGTTTGACAAAATATTTTATAAATTATTAAAAAATTCAAAATTAGCTGAAAGCGCACTTGAGTATGAGAAAGGTGCACTCTAATTGTATGAAAAATTTCAAGCATGTACATATAACAGATTTTGAGAAAAGATACACAGAAAACAGCCAATTTAACATTGTCGGTATAGAGTTTTCTAACCCCCCTTCATATCGCAATTGTGATTACTAAATTATGTTACAATTAAAATACTCTAAATACTACTTTTCTTGAAACAAAAGACTCATTAGCAATATTTCGTTTATCGAAACCAGGTGGTAGTAAACTAAATACATAAGAAAGCAAGGGTAAAAAAGGGATAAATAATCTCAAGAAAGATTTTAATAAAAATTAATATTTTTCTTCAAACAATGACTTGCCGGATATCAAATTGTACAAATTAAAAAGTTCAACACAAATAAACTTATGTTTCTTGTTCCTTGAAAGTGGAATGTTTAATTTTACTTGAACCAAACAAGAGAGTAAAAAGTATTGTTTTGTAATTGTCTGATAAAATGTTCTCAAAGATTGGATAAGGGGGGCGGATGGTGCATAGATTCGATACGATTATCAATAGTTAACAGGTGAATGTTTATTTCGTAATCTAAAATTGTGCCAATTTTGAAATATTAGACTGTTGGAGCACTTTAGAACTATGATATTTTCAGTAAATGTTTTCCTGCTTGTTGTCATGTTGCTTAGATCAGGAGTTCCACTTCAATTTAGTGGTTCTCAAACATTTTTAGGTGAATAAAAATTTTTTTAAAAAAATCATTAAACAATCTTAAAGAAAGTAAGGTATCTTTGTGTTGTGTGTGTGTGTTTGGTATTTTTAGCAATAACATTATTAATATTTGTCAGTAAAAATGAATAAAAAGTTACCAAACTAGTAGTGGTAAACTTTATCCGAGGTATGGCAGAAAAGTAATGAGATTGGCAACTCTGCGCTGTTGTCCTTGATCCTTGTATCAGTACCCTTCCACAGTTCAGTGCGAGCTTCAACTCCTTGCGTTAAAACTACGTAATTTTTGTGAATGCTGTTAGCTAAGTTGTGTTTTGGTTGTGCTTCACACAAAATTGAAACAGTGGAATTTGGAACAAAGTCGCGCCATTAAATTTTGAGTTAAGCTCGGAGAATCTGCAAGTGTGACGTTTGAAAAGTTAAACCAGGCCTATGGGGAACATTCTTTATCCCGAGTTCAAGTTTTTCGCTGGCACAAGTCATTTTTGAAAGGCAGAAAACACGTTGTTCGAAAACCGATAACATCGAACGTGCGAACACTCTTGTGAGATCAGACTGTCGCTTAACATTTAGAATGCTGAGTGAACAATTAAATTTGAACATATTTACCGTTCATCAAATTTTGACTGAACATTTGCACATGCGAAAGTTCTGTGCTAAAATGCTGAAAACCCTCACAATTGAGCAGAATGACATTCGACAAAACAAGTGTCTTGATCTTAACATAAGTGCTAAGGAGCAAGGTTTCTTTAGTCGCATGATCACAAGTGATGAATCATCGATTTTTGAATGTGATCCTGAGACCAAGAGGCAAAGTGAGGAGTGGCACACTGCAAACTCTTCTCGACCAAAGACAGCTCGAATGAGCAAATCGAAGATTAAATCAATGTTGGATTTTTTTTTTGACAAAAGGGGAATCGTCCATAAATAATTTATTCCTCCAGGAAAAAATGTCAAATAAGTTATTTTATAAGGACTTTCTTGAAAGACTCAGAAAAAAGTCATTCGTGTGAGACTATGCATTGCAGACAAATGAATGCTCCATCATGACAACGCCCCATGTCACACTGCTCTCTCCATATCAGAATTTTTGACCTCGAAAGGCATTCCTGTGGTTCCCCAGCCTCCTATTCACCTGACCTCAGTCCCTGTGACTTTTTTCTAAACTGAAACATTTTCTCAAAGGGCGTCATTTCGGGACTTTAGAAAACATTTAAAACAGTGTGATGAAAACTTTGGTAAATAAAAAATCATTCTCATTACTTTCCTACCACACCTCGTACGTCACGCGTCAGTTTAGTTTAGATACGTCATATAACACTACAGGTGCGTGTAATATCTCAATTTAGAACTCGCATATCTTCTCAATAAACTGAGTCCAAACGTCAATAATGTGGTGACGAGTGTTTCTGAATCTAACATTTAAAACTATATTTACATGGAATATTTTCAGTATTTAACGTGCACTCTCAAAACCGTTTGATTCCTCTGAACGCATCCATAGAAATTCGTGCTTTCCATTTTCCGGTTGCCTTTCGTCACCTGTTGCCACAGGCGAGAAGATAAACCTTAGATGCTCGTCAGTCACTTTGGTTGTACACTAACCGCACTTTACATACGAAACAGTGAACCTTATAAACGCCAAAGCTACAGCCATTCCACTGGACGCTTTTGTCATCACTAAGTATATACAGTTTATACTTTTTTTGGCAAATACTATTTGCCTATTCTGATTTCTTCCTTATTCTTGCTTGTATTTTCCTTTTTATATAATTTAAATCCAAGGACCAGTCACAGATGCTTTGTTTCATCGTGCCTTTTAAGTGGTGTCTTCTATTATTTGTCTGTATTTAATATCTTTTATTATGAGAAAGCACATTTCTCCACAAACAATCCAAAGCGATTTGAATGACGGACCTGCTATAAATAACAACTCGTTTTCCAATTGTTCAATAAGTTCGTGCTCACTATCATTTTCTGCGCTTTCTTTGCTCGTTTTCTTTGTACTGTGAAGGACAACATGAATGTGAATAAAACACAGGGAAAAAGGAACAAAACTTTAAGAACTGAAATGTTGAAAAAGAACGAATATGTCATGACTCCGTTTTAACGTGCACCTTACCACTCAGACTATCATTTCTCTATAAAACAAAGAACTCAATTGTGAAATGCATACGTATGGAGTTTCGTGCTACGAACTAGAATTGCACAGAGAACTTTCAGGTGTTGGATATGGCTGAATTTAGTTACGGTACCTCACACATTCGATTCCAAGGAACTAGGCTGCACCTATGCAAGTCTATCTTGGGCAAAAGTACGAGAGTCTGAACTAAACACGGAGCACATTTTTTGACAGAAAAATGTCTAAATTTTCACGAAAAGTTGCGACATTATAACTCATTTATCTGTTTATAGTTGTCTAAGTAACCGTATGTTAATC